CAGTTTTTGTTGAAATCCATTAATGACATAATCGACTGAAAGTGACCAAATTGGTGACTTAAATCGAAAGCCATATCCAAAGCCAGCTCCGGGAACCTGGTTTGCCATGCTCAGTGCCGGGATTTCCTGAAATTTTTCCGTGTCAACTGATAATTAAGAGAAACCGATTTTCAAAATGCAGGGGACTAGAGGCCTCTTCTTGAATATCTATTCATGTAAAATAAATCAAATGAGGAGTCAATTTTGAAGCAAAACCAAGTTGGAATATCTCAACCAGATGGTCCACATAATGCCAGAAGAGAAATCAAAATTCAGTTTGACTATAAATTAGTTCATTCTCTAAGCCACTAGAAGCATTTGACTGAATATTTTCTGACTTGAGAAATCAGATCAAACTGAACCCTTTGAGGACTATAATTAAAAGGGAGGAATATATTTGATTAATTATGCAATGGGCGGAGGAAACAAGCGGAATTAATTTCATTCACCATCTTTTGATCGTTTTGGAAGGAGAGGAACAAAAAAGCTTTCGAAGGGATTGATGATGTGAATGATTTTCCAGACTATTGAATTTTTGTTATTGGGTTATCCTCTCTTCTCGACGGAGGATTTAGGGAATCTTGTTGACATTTTAGCAGACATGTAAATATTTTGTTCATGAGTGTCACCCTTTTGGTGCCGATTCTTAATAATATCCCTTACACTTTGTATTTCAAAAAGATATATATATTTGATTAATTATGAAAAAAATAAAACTCGTAGGGCAGGAGGAAGGAGCATTTCTCCTAACGAATTGAAAAAATGCGTCCTCAGGAACAAAAAATCATTGCCTTGAGTAACGGAACTTCAGGCAAAATGTAATTTTTAAAATTAGGCTAAAATTTTGGGGTAAAAAAAGATTGAGGTTTCCTCCCAAAAAATGGTGCTTTTACTTTAGAAGTGGAACAAAAACTTTCAGAAGAATGCAAAGAAGGTTTCTTCTTAAAGCCAAAAGGACAATGGAGATTTACCTAAAGCCAAAAGGATTCATTCAGTCTAGCTTGATGGTTGCATTTGAAAGGTATTCAAGAGAGATGATTGGGTTAATAAGTAAAAAAACTTTCAGAAGGTCCAAACAGGAAAAAAATAAGCATAAAAGAGCTCTAATTGATTAAAAGAAGTTTCTCTTTTCCTTTCAATTCCAAAACAAACGAAAATGTAACACTCACGAAAAATCAAAAAACTGGAGGGAAAGGCAAAATGCAAATGAATTCAAGTGAAAATTCTCAGACCATGTAAGCTTTGCTTTTTTCCCTTGAAAGAGGAAAACATCGGTTAGTCTCTTTTCTAAGAAAAGTGAAAGAAATGAAGCTTACCGGGTACAAGACGACCAGAGCCCAAGTCAGTGCCACAGTCCAAGAAAACAGCACCTTCCATCATCTTATTCTGAACAAAGAATTGCTCTCAATTGGTATTATAATGTGGTATCATATTGAACTCAATCTAAAAATTTCAACCTTCCGAATTAGCAATAAAGCAAAAAGCCATATACCAAAGGAATTGTCAATTCAGTGTTAGCAACTAGACATGATCTTCCACATCCAACAGCTCCGTCGCCATAACCCCGCACACTGCCTAGACCCCCAATTGCAAATGCTTGGTAAGGAGCCATATCTCCTACAATGGAACCACCTGTCAGGCTGGTAGAGAAAAGGGTAAGTATGTATAAATTTTGATGGGTCCAAAACCTTACACTTATATCCAGTACAAATGAAGCATGTACAGAGCACAACGACTTTATTCCCAATCAAAATAAACTTTTCTTTTTTGAGGAATAAAATATGATGTCAAGTTTTTTAATCCATTATGGCTAACTTAACTAAGGGTTCTATCCAATTTTGCTTGCCTACGTCATTGCTTGTTAGGACAAAACTTAATTTGGTCACTGCAAGTCTACCAACATACTAATGAATTGCACCATAAGCGCTGCTGATCAAGCATTACGAACATATCACTGTCGGCCCATAACTATACCTACAAGATGACAAGTTCTATGTTCTTAGTAAGACTTAAGTTCATAACCTTCAAGTAAAACACAATAATGTTACCTACTGAACCACCGCATTCGTGGTATCAAGGTAGATGTTATTAGTTCACAGCTTTTGATAAATTTAAAAATAAATCAATATTTTCCAGTTCACTTTTGAATAGTTTTTGTGTCCCCTAGCTCAACACCTATATACTGGTGCTGCAGCTGTCCTTTTCTATTTCTTCCCAGCTTTTCTGCTTCAAAAATTCTGCTTACCATTGTTCAGATGTCACATATATTCTCCGAAGGCACCAAAGAATATGCTTCTTACCTTGTCAACAAAAATGCGGGCCCCAATTTGACACCCTTTGATGCAACAAATTTGAACCGGTTGAAGATTAGCCACTTAGACAGAACGGGAATACCTTGCTCTATTTGCATACTGAACTGAAATTATGAGAAGCTTCTAATCAGTGAAATGAGATATGACAGTAAAATATGGTAATATAATCAGTCAGGATTACCTATCAAGATGATATTAAGAATGCAGCCAAAGCAAAATAACAGAGATTGAAGACAAACTTACACGAGAGAAACTGTGATCATTTGCCTTTGCAAATCGAGACTCTTGCTTTAAAACTACCATGCTGTCATGTGAATTGCCACTACATGACAAGGAATCCACAGAATGCTAACCATCAGATTAATGTTGTTAGTTTATTGCTCAAAGTGTTGGAAGAGTAGGTTGAGTAACCCTCAATTACCTGCAGGTAATGGGAAACCCATCAAGATCTCTAGTGATAGGGCGTCCATCATCACTTACGGGACAAACATGCTGCACAGTCCATATCTGTTACTTTCAATTTCCTTCTCAAAGTAACAGAGAGTTCAAAAAACTGCATCTAGATATAACACAATAATGTAGATGTAATTGATCCTGATTTAGGGTATGCATGATAAGCATAACTGGTACCTCAAATTTTATACTAGTTGTGCTACTCCACTTGGAACTTGCTGGTTCACTCAAATCCAACCCCATTGATAATCTAGACAAATTCACACCTCCACTCCCTGAACGGGAGAAATTATCAACAGGAACACCATGGACTCCAATCTCAGGTGAGAAAGAATGCTGGGGCAAGTCATATATGAATTAGAATATATATCCGAGAAATTTTAAATGGAAATAAGATTAATATACAAACCAACTAATAATCTTAGCAAATGAAAATAATTTATTTTAGAAAATTCTAGTGAAACCTCACTTGCATGAAAATGATAGTCTTTCAGTATTGTGCAAGGTAAAAGAAGCAACAAGTATTGAAATAACATATATTCGCTGGTTCAAGTGAGAACAAGAATGAATGTAGCATATACTGACCTGAAGGACAAAACATTGCTGCGCAAGCCATTCAGGCCGGGGCCTTCTATAAGCCACCAACACATTTGAATCATACAGCCCTTTATCCCACGATACATCGAGCTTCTCACTTCCACCAAATAAATTAGGATGCTTAATGCAGAGACTGGAAGAAACAAATTTGAATCTAACTGTTAAACTACTGTCCCAATGCCCTGCTTGTTTCCCGTTAATAAAACTACATCTAACAACGAAAAACAAGAAAGTAATAGGAAATATACTTTCTATTGTAACACCTAGAACCAAACACCACTACCTTAACAACTCTGAGCCTGAACTGAGGCTTAAAACCTCAACTCAAATTGTTAGGAACAGAGTTTATAGGACATTCCATCAGATCCATTGGATTCTTTTAGTTTGCAAACACTAGGAAATTTCTGCCAATAACAATTAAGAAAAATAACAATAGATACTCACAATATCTTCCTCTAATTATCAGAAGGCAAAAGCCAATCAATTACATGATAAAAATAGAACTTCACCTGCCAATCACTAGTGAGAGAGGACTTCCAGTGTCCCTATAAAAAGGAAAAAAAAATTATTTTTTTGTAAATTCCATTAACAGGAACTCCTCCAGTAACAGAGCACAAAAA